CCACCACTGCCACCACACTAACCACCACCACCACCACCACACTAACCACTACCACGACCACCACACTAACCACCATCACCACGACCACCACACTAACCACCATCACCACGACCACCACACTAACCACCATCACCACGACCACCACTACTGCATAACCACCACTACTGCATAACCACCACCACTACACTAACCACCACCACTACACTAACCACCACCACTGCATAACCACCACAACTATCACACTAACCACCACAACCACACTAACCACCACCACTGCATAACCACCACACTAACCACCACCACGACCACACTAACCACCACCACGACCACCACACTAACCACTACCACTACACTAACCACCACACTAACCACCACCACTACCACACTAACCACCACCATGACCACCTCACTAACCACCACAACCACACTAACCACCACCACGACCACCACCACCACTACACTAACTACCACCGCACTAACCACCAAGTGCTCACCACGCGTAAGGACCTTACACGGCAGAATTTATCAAGTCCTTACAACCCTCTGAGTAGGTACTATTATCACCCCCATTTTATAGAAGAAAAAAACCGAGGCACAGTGAGGTTAAGGGGCTTGCCCAATGGACATGTACACACAGTGAGCCAAGGGCTAGACTGACAGCTGACCCCGGGAACGGTATTGCAGAGTCAGTGCTGTGACCCTCAGAAGGACAGACACATCTGTCCAGTTTGCTGCACACTCTTCACAGGGATCATTTTTAGTGGCTGCATTGCAGAATCATCATTAGAAAAATCACAAAAGTTTTTTAACTTTCATCACAACTATCAGGCAGCATCTTCTTCAAATAGTTAACGTCTCCTTTATGCTGATAAACTGATTTAGAATCATGTCAACCATCTAAGGAGACTGCACTGGAGTCCTGCGGAGCAGTGGCCAAGGTAACCAGACAGGAAGATGTGACTGGGGCTTTTAGCTTAGTCTGGAACAAGACACTTAACAAAAGGCAGGGATACCACCTCCAGTCTTCCACTGCAAAAGCTTAATACTTAATAGACAACACAAGTAAAATATTAACATTAAACTATAAAAAAAACTAGACCTATTCCTGCGAGACAGATGACAACAATAACAATGGCACCTAACATTTATTGAGCATTTACTGTGTGCCTGGCCCTGTACTAAAATCTTTACCTACACTAACTCAATGAATTATCGTATCAACCTTATAAAGCATTATCATTATCCCCATTTTAGAGGCTTTGAAACCAATGCACAGAGAGGTTAAACACTTATCCACCGTCACACAGCCAGTACATTATAGAGACAAGAACACAGTTTGCCCTAGAGGGCCTGGCTCTAAACACCATGCCAGACCACCCTATTCGAATGTGAGATGAACAGTCTGTATGTAACTTAACTACAGAATCTTTTGTGTGAACTACTAAGATTCCTAGATTTTTCTGAGTCCACATCCAGCACCTCCAGCATCCTCAGATCTATGCTGCAGAAAGCCTTTGGTAAAAACAGACCCAGAAGATTAGCAAACTAAGTTTAAAACAAAACAAAAACCCCAAACCATAAAAGGTATTAAAGAATGAACTCAACAAGCCTGACTGAATCAGAGATCATAAAGGTAAAAACCAAGAGTTTATAAAATTCACCAGGGACTGCTAGACACTTGTAGTAAATAACCTGTCCTTGAGTGACCTTGAGCAAGTTCACTTTTCTGGGCCTCCAATTCCTTAATTATTAAAACAGAAAAGGGGCGGGACTTGTTTAGGACTATGTTAGACCTCTAATCTTTCTTTCAGCTCTAAAAAGAGTATAATTTTTAAAGCTGGTTCTACTCAAACCTTATTCTGATTCCTAGTTTTCTTTCACGCTTCCTAATTTTCTAAGCTGCCTCATAACCTCTCTGCTAGGACAAAATGGATCTTATTTGCAAGCCCTGTTCATCTGTTTTTTTTCTCAGTTCCAGCCAGTATATCTCACTCCCATAAGCCAGCCCAACTCCCGACGTGAATGGCCTAGTTAAGAGTAGGGGAACAGGACATAACATGGCTTAGCACCTACAATAAAGGAAATGTAATATTCTTCCTGAACACAAATCTTACTCTTTGCCGAGAAAGAACTGGAAATCCAAAGCCCCTCCGGTATACAGTACCCTCTCTCCCAACCAAAAGTGTTCCGAGTGCAGCGCTGTGTCTTGTTGACAATGACAGCAGCCGTGCTCAGCAGTACCATATGGGATCCACAATTTAGCTCCATTAATGCTCTTAATTTGAAGACATCAAGCCCTAATTACACACTGGGTACTAAAAAGGCAAAACCCTTCCCTAGTGCCAGCTACTTAGTGGTACTCTGTTGCCTTAACAGCTGGTTGAGGTAGATCCAGGCCAAGTCAGGGCCCGTGAGCTCTCTCAGGTGGAAGAGACCAGCTCCCGGAGCAAAGGCGAACAGGAACAATAGACTCCCTCTGCCCACACCAACCCAGCAGAGTGATCCACTTCTAGTTCCAGTGGGTCGCCCACTCTGGGCTAATTCTTGCCTTGCCCAGTGGAGTCACAAAGGACACAAGTCAGTGCTGATCCTAAACGATGAGTTTCTAGGACTTGGGTGTGTTCCTGTGTCCACTAAGGGCCACATCACCACATGGAAGAGGATCAGTGCTTACCTCCTGCTCCATGTTGCCATGCAGCCGTAGGAATTTTAATCGTGCGGAGGCAGATGGTAACTGCCCTAATGCCGGGGCCCCTGGGCTGCTCAGCAGGGTCTGTAGAAAGAGGTTGTAGTGGAACTCCACCAGCTCACAACTTGAGAAAAAGATAATCATCTTCTGGTCTTTTTCAAACTACATTGATATAAAGGGAGGGGGGAAGATCACAGTTTTTAAGTTCTGGTGACACTAAAATGTATATTTCTTTAAAATACGTAGTTATGCTGGCCCCGATTCGGAAACACAGGTGATAAACAGCTTTAAATTATTAAAAAAAATAAAAAATACTGCTATTCTACAAAGAGTGTGGGAAAGGAAAATGACACAGCTATAATGTCAAAAAGGTTCCCTGTAGCTGACAGAGACAAACACACCTGAGAATGCAGCCATGCGTTAGCTCTGTCCGTCCTATGCCCAGGGCTTGCCACTTGCAATACCGCCCAGCTGTGTGTGTACAGAAAATCTTGAAGTTTCCACCCAGGTGTGGAGGCTCATGCCTGTAATCCCAGCACTCTGGGAAGCTGAGGTGGGTGGATTGCCTGAGCTCATGAGTTTGAGACCAGGCTGAGCCACAGAGAGACCCCATCTCTAAAAACAGCCAGGTGTGGAGGTGCCCGTAGTCCCAGCTACTCCGGAGGCTGAGGCAAGAAAATCACTTAAGTCCAAGAGTCTAAGGTTGCTGTGAGCTGTGACGCCAAGGCACTTTACCAAGGATGACCAAGTGAGGCCCTGTCCCCTCCCACCTCCCAAAAAGAAAACCTTGAAGTTTCATCCTCAACCCCTTCCACCTGCTTTCACCTATATGAAAGTTACCACGAGTCCAGTAAATAAACACTAGATTTTTTTTTCTTTTTTTTGGGCGGGACAGAATCTGACTGTGTTGCCCTGGGTAGAGTACCATGGCATTACAGCTCACAGCAACCTTAGACTCTTGGGCTTACGTGATTCTCTTGTCTCAGCTCCCAAGTAGCTGGGACGACAGGTACCCACCACAATACCTGGCTATTTTAGAGATGAGGTCTCCTCTGGCTCTGGCTCAGGCTGGTCTTGAACTCATGAGTTCAGGCAGTCCACCCGCCCCAGCCTCCCAGAGTGTTAGGATTACAGGTGTGAGCCACTGCACCCGGCCTAGACACTAGATTTTTAAGAAACATGAACACCATTCCTTATTTGCCCCATATCCAGCATGTTTCTGCCACTTGTGATAGTCCTAGTATTTGTCCCAGGAAAGCTATTTAAGGAGATTTTAAATTGAACAACATGGCTATCACTGACCTCTGATTCTTCTCCACAATGTTAGAACCTCTGGCTGAAAAGGTGGTTTCCATCGATCATGCAGAGGTAAGTTGGAAAACTGTGTGTGTCCAACTCATTGTTATGAATGTTTGACACAAACAAAACAGATCTTTTTTCCCAGATCAAGACAGGTCAGTGCCCAATCCCACCTTGCATTTTTGAAGAATGAAGGCTGCCAGGGAGACAAGCCTCAGTTTGCTGGGAACCAATGCCACATGCTGGTCCAGACTCCCTGGTATTGCAAAGCCACCTAGCTTGTCACCAGTTTGTAGAGGTGAGACTTCCTGGACCACTTTGCCCTTTGGGTTACATTGGTCGCAGCTTTCACCCAGGACAGCAATAGTGACTGGATTGTGCAAACTGATATCCGCCAGCCGTGTTACACCTTGGATAAAAAGCAGATAAGCACACACTGAGAGACTGGCCACAGCTTGCACACCCTACACAGCACCACCCAGGTTTAATGAGAAAGTCCGGTGGTTACCGCTGCATCCTAGCACTGATCTACCTGCCCTGGGGCTACTCTGGTGGGGCAGACTTACCAATTTCTTTCCATAGCCTAACAATCCGTGCCAAACCCCGAACTCTCTTTGGGAGTTTTGCCCTATAGACAATATAAAATAAATCAAAGTGTTCTTTGGTCATGTAAGTAAGTTACAGAGAACCTTTGATTGATTGAAAAGGTTTCACCAAAGCTTTTGCTGCAAGTCCTCCCAGGGCCTTTATTAATGTCACTGTGAATAACCAAGGTGGCATGTAGGGCGTGGAGCATTCTCAATCCTTTTCTACCACAGAATCCCTTTTCCATGAATTATCTCTCAGAGTGAATGTTACTTAGAATGTACTTTCAGAATAGCGAGGGTCACATGAATGGCATCTGGTGTGTACACTGTAGTGTGGCCTAGTAAATCAAGTAACCAGACCCGAGAACACAGAAGCTCACTGTTACCCCGACAATGTGGGTGAAGCTGGTGGAATGATGCAACCTTTCCAACCCTTGGCGTTCCCAAATATAAGAAAGAGCTAAGAATTTCTATCTCATGAGGAGAAAAGACAGAAAGGAGCTTAAAGAATACAGTTTTCTGGCCAGCCAGGGTGGCTCTGGCTCACGCCTGTAATCCTAGCACTCTGGGAGGCTGAGGTGGGAAGAATGTGTGAGGCCAAGAGCTTGAGATTAGCCTGAGCAAGAGACTCCACCTCAACCAAAAACAGAAAAAAAACAGCTGGGTGTTGTGGCAGGCATCTAAGTCTCAGCTACATGGACGACTAAGGTAGGAGAGTCACTTGAGCTCAAGAGTTTGAGGTTGCCGTAAGCTTTGCCATTGTACTCTAGCCAGTGACAAAGGAAGAAACTGTCTCAAAAAAAAAAAAGAATGTATTTTTTAAGCTCATTCTTTCTTTTTCTTGAAACAGAGTTTCACTATGTCACCCTCAGTAGAGTACTGTCGCATCACAGCTCACAGCAACCTCAAACTTTGGGGCTTAAGCAATTCTCTTGCCTCGGCCTCCCAAGTAGCTGGGACTACAAGCACCTGCCACAATGACCAGCTTTTTTTTTTTTTTTTGCAGTTGTCACAGTTGCTTAGCAGGCCTGGGCTGGGCTCAAAGCTGCCAGCTACGGTGTATGTGGCCAGCGCCCCACTCACTGAGCTATGGGTGCCAAGCCTAAGTTCATTATTTCTTTAGGAAAAAAGTAGAATGATTAAGAGGTCGTATCATTAGGGCAAGGGCCAGGTTGCAATTGTAATAAAAACCTCCCAAAGCCACTAGGTCAATAGTGGTGAACCTTTTCTCTCCCCTCCTCTGGATCTACCATGAGCACTAGCAGCGCTCGCCTTACTTGAGAGGCTTCTGAATCTGGAACCTACCCTTTCTTCCTTTCCCCATATCAGTCATATCAGTCCTGGATGACCAGGAGAGGGAAGCTGGGAGTACAGGCCATGTTGCTTAAAAAAGAGTTCTCTAGAAACATTTCTCCCTTCCTTCCCTCCCCGAGCTTAAAAAATCCACTGCTGGCAAACAACTAGGATTATGCCTCAGTCTCCCTTCTTCATTAAGGACAAAGACAATCCCATCACTTCCTTTCAGCTCACCTTCTGTGAGTGTTGCAGACAGTAAAACGTTCTGTCGTTTTTGGCATTCCGCATTTACAGCATTGAGTATTACTGTAATATCCTTTTCAAAACCCAAATCCAAGATTCTGTGTTATAAGAGAAGACATTTTAATCTCCATGAAGAGCAGCTGCGAGGGAGGTGGCAGGAACAGCTCTCTCCTTCCACCTTGCAGGATGCCTACGTGCGGCTCACCTGTCTGCTTCATCGAAAATCAACCACCGTATCCGATTAAAATGAATGTTCTTTGTAGATTTTATATGATCCACCAGACGTCCAGGAGTTGAGATAAGAATATTTATTCCTTTGCGGAGTCTGTTTGAGATTATATATCATAAAAGAAAGTAAATCAAACAGGGCTTTTCAATAGAAAACACAGGAAAAAGGCAAAGGAGATATTCATTTCACGCATAGCATAAACATGCTAATTTCATAACAAAACACGAGACCTTGGTAAAAAGATAACTGAGTTTTCCCTCACCTGTAGAATGCAATAGTTAAGATCTGAAATTACATTAAAATCATGAAACCTTAACTTTGAAAGGACTCTGAACTATACATACATATAATCTAATACTCTTTACCTGATTCATAAATCCTTTCTAAAAATTCTAGATAGATGGTCACCTTGCCTGTTCTTAAAGGTCTCTGTGCCAGGGAGCCTATTACCTAAGCAAGTTATCGCATGCCAATGTGCTCTAATTGCCAGAATGTTTTTCTAACACTAAAACCCTTCTATGACTTCCATATAATGGGCCTCAGCTTTGTCCTATAGATGATATAAAATAAATCAAATTTCTTACTCCTCAAGCAACCATTACCCATTATTCCACAATTCCACAGTAATAACAGCCTCCAGCTTTTAGCTGGGTTCATTTTTCCAACTTTCCTTGTAGTTCAGTCTGGTCATGTGCCTAAGTTCTAGCAATGGGATAAAAAGATAAAGTATGCAAATCATACAAGCACCTTCAGAAAGACTAGGTATGATCACTTTTGTTCCTTATGGCAGGAAAGTAGACGAAATGGCTGGAGCACAGGTAACTATGTAAGACTATGAGTTAATCTTGAACGTGGACACCTCCCACAGTGGCACAAAAAGACAGCAGGCGCCTGGGTTCTGACATTGGACTAGTTCCACCAGACTTGTTAAATGTGAAAGAAAATTAAAACTTCTCTACTGTTTGCCCCCCCCCACTGTGATGAATGTTCTTCACAGCTGAATAGCGCAGTTTAATATCTACTCCTGAGCTATAGACCACAAGCACAGATGACTATATACATGCTAATTATTAAACTATAATACAATACAGATAAAAATGTTTTAAAAAGAATGTAGACTAATCGAGATTTACTTGTTGCGACAACTTTCAACTGAAACCTACTGTAAGTTGTAATACATAATAAAAAATGTACTTGGGTATAAAAAGGTGCAAAGAATTATGCAAGTTTATGATGTTATTTTTGTAAAACCAGACAACAAAACCCCAAATACCCAATGTACACAAAGGGAGTCACACCTTGGGGATGTTTAAACAAGGCACAAGAGGGACTGCAGGGTGCTACAGGGTGGGAGTGAAGGCGATTAGCGCTGTGTGTAAGCACGTCGGGAGGAAACCTGGTTGTGGGTTCATCAGTACTGTAAAAAATAGCACCGTCTAGAGGTGACCGCTCCCCACTGACTCAATCTGTCCTTAGGCACTGGGACTAGGAAGCTCAGTCTGAGACAAGGCTCTCTGCAGGTTTAGAAGAATCAAGTCTTATTGAAGAAAGGCAGGGAAGACAGGTTCAAAAAAGGAGTAACAACCGACAAACCGCTCCCTACCTGGCTTTTTCTGATTTTCTCTTCTCTCCTCCCATTAACACTCCAGGCACAATCCAGGTAAATGGCTACACAAAGACAACAGACCAAAACCAATATGAAGTCCCCTTTTTACTCAACACACAGAAATTGATTCTAAATTCCTCTCCCTTAAACAAGTTGGGAGAGAGAATTCAGGCTTCTTCCTGTGTGAAGCGTTAATGTGCAGACATTATTCCTAGACCCTGCCCACCCATGGTTACTACCAGCAGTCACTTGAATTACAACTGCACAACTAGCTTCTAATACCGTAGGCAGGGAAATGTGAGCTTCCCTGTCTTTTCCCATGAAGCCTGAACTGAAAACACACTTCAGTAAGCCGACTTGCCTTTTTTCCCCCAGTTAAGATAAAACTAAAGCAACACATTTCCCTATTTCCTATCCATGCAAAGAAAGGACCGATCAATTCATAATCTAATTTGGTGGGTTGGAAGGCTTTGACTCTAAAGCCTTTTCTCTTCTTTCTGAAACAAATCCTACTCGCAGCTTTTCAGTTGCTTTCCACAGGATCACTGAAAGGCCGCACCTGTGCGTTTCTGCATGTGGCTTGCTAGTAAGTGCAATGAACAAATTACAGGACTCTAAGCATCAAGACACACTGATAACGCAGCTAAGCTAAAACTGATAGTTTCGTTTAGGTCAGTAAAAACCCATCAACAACCTGGAGGAAGCGGAGACTTCCAGGCAAGAGGGAAATAAGAGTAACCTTTCTCTCTCCGAACATAAAGGCAAGACTACAGTATATAAAATCTTTCTTCAAAAAGTCTGGGAAAAAGGTGAAACTGAACTCATGGTTTGCCTTACCTTCAGCAGTTTCTGGATAGTGTCAAAGCTTTGTAAAGCCAGCTGTAAATATTAAAAAGTTATAGACAATGAGCATTCATTTCTATTTTTTCTAAAAAAAAAAACAAAAAAGGGCAATGTAAAGTGATTAAAATCCAAACTTAGACCTCAAGAGTAAAGAAGAAACAAATCCTATACACAGAACCTAATCTGAAAATATGCCTTGTTAGACTGTTCTAAGCCTGTCAGTTTGGGGAGTAAGGGGAAAGGCATCACATCCATTTTTCCCGGACATATGCAAAAATAGTGTTTTGTGCTCCCTCTGCTGGCTCAAATTCCCAGAGTGCCACAAAGAAGTTCAAGGCGATGTGCACAAAGATGTAAGAGAGTGAAATAAATTCAACCTGAATTTGGCCCTCCTTAGAGAAGAGAATGGTATGTGTAAAGGGGTAAAGGAGAACTGCCATGCAGGTTAGCTCTTGGGAATGTCCCTTTAAAGGTCTCATGACTGTGTCCTATGACTATACTAAGGTATCTAGAGATGGAAGATGATCGCTCCCTAAGTTTAATAAAACAAAACAAAACCAACAAGTCCAGTGGAAAACAGGGCAAGTAAAAATTAATGTAGGCCATACCATTAATAACCTTCAAAAAGCCTCGGTGCCCATAGCACAGTGGTTAGGGCGCCAGCCACACACACCAAGGGTGGCAAGTTTGAACCTGGCCTGGGCCAGCTAGACAACAATGACAACTGCAACAAAAAATAGCCAGGCATTGTGGCAGGTGCCACAGCTCATTGGGAGGCTGAGGCAAGAGAATCGCTTAAGCCCAAGAGATGGAGGTTGCTGTGACCTCACAGCACTCTCCAATGGTGACATAGTGAGACCCTGTCTCAAAAAAAACAAAAAAAAAACAACCTTCAAAAAAAGCCTCTTACAGAATCCCATTATCCAAGGATATCTATACAGTTTCTACATAGTTAGTATTCATGAAGCATCCCAGGGAGGTAGCATGTTTGCTGTTGTAAAAATTTAAATAGCTTGTGCCTGTTCCTTCATTGGACTGAGCTGAGATAGGATAGGGCATTGCAGGCTGCCTTGAAACCTCCATCTCCAGGATCAGTTCTCTGCAAGGAAGTGATTAGCATTTGATATAGAAAACAGACACTCTAATCTGAAATTGTCTCTGTAGGCAAATAAAACAGACCAGAAAGAAGAGATTTCCACTAAGAAAGAAAAAATATTGGATTGGCGCCTGTGGCTCAAGTGGCTAAGGTGCCAGCCACATACACCTAAGGTGGCGGGTTTGAATGCAGCCCAAGGCCGCCAAAACAACA